GTAGGACAAGTAAAAAAAAAAAAAAAAAAAAAAGTCTCCCCAGCACTTAACAGTCATATTCTTAATTTCCAGGAATTTCTAAATTTTGAAAATTACAGCCTCTGAACTGGGCTATTGCAGGGAAACTGTTCCTACATGTTTTATTAAATTCTATATTCTTAGCAGCAAAGATGAAGAAGGCAGAGTGAGACTGAAAATGCAAGGGCAAAGGCAGTCAGGACACAACCAAGATATGCAGACAACGTGCAAGTTTTGGATGGGAACTTTTTTGTTACTGCTTTTTGTTACTGTTTTTTTGTTACTGTTTTTTGGCAGTCACTCTGTTGATCACATGAAAATCTGTGTAGTTTTGTTGTTTTATCAGTCCTCATTCTTTTTGTCTGTTTCAACATTTGATTCTTGAGTTATTCCAGCTCTCTTGTCCCCAGTCCCTGTGAAACCTCTCTTCTCTTGGCTTCCATTGTACAGTGGAATGGTATTCTGGGTCTCCTATCTTTTCTCTGCTATTGGCTACTTTCATGACTTCACTTTACCATTCAGACATGTTGATGGTTTCACTTTATTTTATTCTTTGGTGATATTTGTGCAGATGTACACTATTTTTTTTTTTCATGTCTGGGTATTTCTCCTTATTTGTTTTGTTGTCTTCCTAGACTCAATAGTTTTAAATAAATTGATCTTAGAATGTCTTAGAAAAGACCTTCAAGATCACATGCTTCATTGTTCATTTTAGAGGTAGGTAAACTAAGGCTCTGGGAGGTGATGTGGCTTGCATAATTTCATGGAGTCACTCATTTGGTGAAATCAGGCTAGAAACCAAGGTCCTTGACCCTCAGTACTTCTTAGAGCCTCTTTTTATTTCTGATACTCTGACTCCTGATGGTCTCCTGTCCCATGATTGTTCCCTTGGCAAGGAACTTCAGAGTTATATGACCCTCATGTTTCACCCCTTCTTCACAACTGTCAGATATCCAGCCATTCACCAAGACCTATCAGTTCTTTCTATGATTTTTAAATGCTACTTTTTAGTAATTTTTAAATTTTAAAAATTTAAAATTCAGTAAAATTCACTTTTTGGAAGTGTATAGTTCTGTGCTAGTTAGTTTGGGCTGCTGTAACAAGAGTACGATAGCCTGGGTAGCTTAAACAACAGACATTTATTTCTCAGAGTTCTGCAAACTTGAAGTCCGAGATCAGGGTGCCAGCTAGCGTGATTGGGTTCTGGTGAAGGCCCTCCTCGGGCTCCACAGATGGATGCCTTCTTACTGTATCCTCACATTCAGAGAGAGAAGTCGTCTCTCTTCTGTCCTGTCTCTTCTGATAAGGGCACTAATTCCACCATGAGGGCTGCCCGCTTATGACCTTCCCAAAGGAGTCCTCTGAAAACCATCACACTGGGGACTAGGGTTTCAACATATGAATTTTGTGGGGCGGGGTGGTGGAGGCAGGGCACAAGCATTCAGTCTGTAGCAAGTTCTGTGAATTTTTTTTTTTTTTTGAGATGGAGTTAGTTCTGCTCTTGTTGCCCAGGCTGGAGTGCAATGGCGCTATCTCGGCTCACCGCAACCTCTGCCTCCTGAGTTCAAGCGATTCTCGTGCCTCAGCCTCCTGAGTAGGTGGGAATACAGGCATTTATCACCAAGCCTGGCTAATTTTGTATTTTTAATAGACACAGGGTTTCTCCAAGTTGGTCAGGCTGGTCCCAAACTCCCAACCTCAGGTGATCCACCTGCCTTGGCCTCTCAAAGTGCTGGGATTACAGGTGTGAACCACCACGCCTGGCCAGTTCTGCAAATTTTAACACAGACATTAATTCATGCAACCACCACTACAAATAGCATATGGAACAATTTCATCATCCTTCAAATTCTCTGGTGCTGCCTTTTTGTAGTTTAAATCCTCTTTCCTGCTGAACTCCTGGCAATACTGATCTGTTCTCTGCCTTTGTAATTTGTTCTTTGTAAAACTATTATATAAGTGGATTATACAGACTTTTTGAGACTAGCTTTCACTTAGCATAATGCATTTGAGATCCATCCACGTTGTGTGTATCAAAGGTTTGTTCTTTTTTATTACTGACTAATATTCTGTTGTATGGATGTGCCATGGTTTGCATACGTATTCACCCATTGCATTCCCAGCAGCAGAATATGTAAATCCTAGTTGACTTGTATTTTTGCTGGCATTTGATATTGTCAGTTTATGCAGTTCAGCCATTCTAATAGGTGTGTAGTGGTATTTCATGATGGTTTTGATTTACGTTTCCCTAATGATTAATGATATTGAACATCTTTTCATGTGTTTGACTTTCATACATCTTGTACCCATTACGATACGTGTTATGCTCATTGTCATTATCATAACCCTCTTCTAGGTAGTTATTATACCTTTTTATATCAACATGGTTGCTCATCTACCACAGGATATTCCAAGGTCAAAGCGCTGAGCCAGGGACTTTATGTACATAATCTCATTTTATCCTTAAAATCTTTGTGAAATTAGTAGTGGTTTTTATTTTTGTGGTGGAGAAAATAAAGACCCCATGTTCAAAACATACTGAGTGCCTACCGTGTGCAACGAGCCAGTTATACCCATTTACTAGTCCTGTGGGACTAGCAGTCACTGACTTTAAGCAAGTCAGTGAACTTCTATGAGTCAATTTCCTTTTCTGTTGAATAGGGATCTGTATTATGATATGTTCTCTCGGGGTTGTTGAGTGAGGGGTTTAAAGGAAGAATGCAGGAAACATGCTGAGCAGGAGATCTGGCTCATGATGTATTCTGAGTAAATGTTAGCAATAGCTGCTTCTGTGTTCTTCAAACACCTCATACTGACCTGAGGTGGTTTCTCTCCCTCCCTGGCTACTTTTCTAGTCAGTAACATAAAGGTTAAGTGTGCCAAATGTTTTACTTTGAGTCCATTCCAGCTCCAATGTTTATGTAAAAAATGATTATCATAAAGGGTTGATCTAGTTAGGAAGGTTATTATTGTGCTTATAGTAGGCCAGAATGTGGAAACTATAATATTAGTAAAAAAGAAATTGGGCTGGGTGCAGTGGCTCACGCTTGTAACCTCGGCACTTTGGGAGGCTGAGGTGGGCAGACCACCTGAGGTCAGGGGTTCAAGACCAGCTTGGCCAACATGGCGAAAGCCTGTTTCTACTAAAAATACAAAAAACTAGCTGGGTGTGGTGGTGAATGCCTGTAATCCCAGCTTTTTGGGAGGCTGAGGCAGGAGAATCACTTGAAACGGAGGCGCAGGTTGCGGTGAGCCGAGATCGCGCCGTTGCACATCAGCGTGGGCAACAAGAGTGAAACTCTGTCTCAAAAAAAGAAAAAAAAATCGTGATACAAGTAAGATCTTTTAAAAATTATTAAATCATCCATCTTGAATTATGTGGGGCTTTATATATGGAAGCGAGAATATGTTTAAAATTACCTCCCTGCTATTTCCTGCTAGATTTCTGGGGCTTGTTTTCTCTTAATCTTGCCATTGCCAAGCATATATCTGGTGCCTGCTGTGTGCCGGGTGTTAGTCTCTCTAATCCTCACAGCAACCCTTTGAAATAAAAGATATCCCCATTTTACAGAGGAAGACATTGTGCCCGAGAGGCCAATTGCCCTGCCCAATGTAACCTAGTCATCTTCTGACTGAGTCCTCTGCTCTTATCAGCACCCACTCTGCCTCAGTCTCATTGTGATGGGGGCATGGAAGCTGCTGCCCACCATCACTAGGAGCACTGGCGCACCTTCCCCCAATATGCATCTGTTTCCTTCACGGGGACTGTTTCCAGGACCTTAAGGTTACACTTGCCTACCACAAGCCCTGAAATTAGGTGGTTTTATTTTGTCCAAAAGGCCCACTGTGGAAACTGCATGAACTTTGAAGTCATGAGGTTCAAGTGGTGCCTCCACCATTTTATTTTACTGCCTATGTGATTTTGGCCAAGTTACTGAAACTCTCAGAGCCTGTGATTCTTCAGCTATAAAATGGGAATAATACGTACCTGGTAGAGATGTGGACAGAATTAGAAATAACACAGTAGGCTGGGCACAGTGGCTCATGCCTGTGATCCCAGCACATTGGGAGGCTGAGGCTGCTGGATTACCTAAGGTCAGGTGTTTGAGAACAGCCTGACTAATATGGTGAAACCCTGTCTCTACTCAAAATACAAAAAAATTAGCCGGGCATGGTAGCATGCACCTGTAGTCCCAGCAACTCACGAGGCTGAGACAGGAGAATTGCTTGAACCCGGGAGGTGGAGGTGGCAGTGAGCCGAGATCGTGCCACTGCACTCCAGCCTGGGCAATAGAGCGGGACTCCATCTCAAAAAGGAAAAAAAAAACCAGAAAAAAAAAAAACCCAGAAAAAAAAAACAATGCTATAGAGTGCTTAGGACATTGTAGATGCTTATTAACTGGTAGCTACTATCATCACCATTGCAGGGCCTTCTGACTTGTCTTGGGGGGCTGAAGAAGCTGTCCAGAGTAGTGATTAAGAATATGGGCTCTGGAGTAAACTGCTTGGGTTTAAATCCTTGTTCTACCACTTACCAGCTCTGTGACTGTGCATAACTGAATTCCTTCCTGTACCTCAGTTTCTTCCATCTACAAGATGGGAATAAATAACAATTTCTACCTTGTAGGGATAAATGATTTTAAAGAGATGAGAACTGTCAGGAAGTTGAGTTGAAATGAACTTATTTTGATCATCTACTGACATTGTTTCTTCCCATGACATATGAGTCTCTTTTAAATTTATAACACTTCTTCTTTCCTTCGTACTCAAATTGAGAGAATTTCTCATTATTTGTATTTGATGCCGATAAAAAACATTTGCTGTCACATTTTTCCTAGAAATGCAGATTAAATTGCAAAAATTACTGTTTTCATCTAAGAAATTGGATTAACTAAACCTATAAAGCACAGTTTTTTCATAGAGAAAATAATTGAGAATTTTTTGTAGAATTACAGTAAATAAAATCAGGTGTAGTAAATAACAGTTTTATAGGTAAAAATATTTAAAACCCTAACCAGCTGCCTGTTTAAAAAAACACACATATATATTCCATTATTTCACAGAAATTATTTGATTCTCCTGTTTTGATCTTGAATTTGGCTGGGTTGCATGTGAATTACTCTTTTTCTCCTTCAAGATGATACCAGTCAGGTGGGCCCATAGTATGTGAATCTACCAGGAAGAAAACAGTCTCTGAATTTACTGTATGTCTAGAAATCAAATTTGACTTACACCTGCAGGCAGTATAGGGTGTTGGCTGGGTTTGCATCATTATTCTGAAGTCTATACTGATGTCCTGTGACTAATATGTTCCAGCTGTCTAGGTCACTGCTTTGGAGTACTATTTATTTGCAGTAGTGATGCTGCAAATAGGAAAAGCTTTCCCTTTTGTTGGTTGAAAGCTTTCCTGGTAATTAGCAAAACAAGCATGCCTCTTATTTGGAGAGAAACTGGAAAGGAGGCTAAAGAGTCAATTGTACACAACCACTTTGGAAAACAATTTGGCATTAGAGGAGTTGAACACGTGCAATCCGTAGCCCAGCTCTCCTCGCCTAGGTATATAACCCTGGAGAAATTCTTGTCTGTGTGTACCAGAGGACAAGCAGTAGAATGTAAATGGCAGCATTATTCAAAGTAGCAGAAAATTGAAAAATTCCCAGAGGGGTCCCCAACAGTAGGACAGAGCAGTAAATTGTGGGTATGTTCACACAATGAGAACTGTATCGTGGTAACAAAATAAATGAACTAAAGCCACATGAGTCACAGGGATGAATCTCAAAATCTTAAGAGAAGAGGCAAGTCTAGAAGAGCACATACAGTATCGCTTCACTCATATTAGGCTTAGAATCAGCAAATCACAACATATTGATAGCACATATGTGGCAAAACCATAAAGAGGAGCCAAGAAATGATTGACTTAAAATTCAGGCCAGTGGTAAATCTTGGTGGTGGAAGTGGTGGTGAAGGATGATTGGGAGACATGTAATCAGGAAAGACACACACACGGCTTCCAAAAAAAGAAAAAAAAAAATCTAAACACCGACTGGTATTAGGTATGTGCGATTTATTTTATTATTCTTTATACCTATATATGTTGTTAGGTTAGTTATCACTGCATAACAAACCTCAAGACTTAGCACCTTAAAACAATAATACACATTTGTCATCCCACATAGTTTCCATGAGTAGGCCAGGAATTTGGGAACAGCTAAGCTGGGTGGTTCTGACTCGCAGTCTCTCATGAGGTTGCAGTCAAGATGTCAACTGAAGCTGCTGCCATCTATCTGAAGACTTGACTGAGGCTGAAGGATCTTCCAAGATGGCTCACTCACATGGCTGTTGCCAGGAGGCCTCAGTTCCTTGCTGGTTGTTGGCAGGAGGCCTCAGTTCTTTCCCACGTGTACCTCCGCAGAGCTTCTTGAGCGTGTCCTCATATCAGAACAGCCAGCTTCCCTCCCAAAACAGAGATGGAAGGTGAAGTCTTTGGACTTTTGCAGTCTCTCGCCGGCATTTCAGCAATATTGTAGTGGTTCCCACATGCCAGCCCTGTTCCGTGAGGGGCGGGACTATACAAGCGTATGAATACTGGGAGGCGGGTATCACTACGGCCACGTTGGAGGCTGGCTACCACAGTTAACGCACTTTTAACTATAGTATATTTCACAGTAAACATTTTTTTAGAGGCAAACTAAATTGGTGAGCTCATTTTTCTTTAGTAATAGTGCACACATCCATTTAAATGAAAAGTTTTATAGATACTGAACGTATTACCAATTAGTATGGGTTTAAAGAAATGTCAGTGATGTAGCTGAGCATTTGAGTGGCCTAAGCTTGCCTGACAGGAATGTGCCTGAGGCAGGGGAGTGGACGGGAAGGGCCATGAGGAAAGGAACTTCAGTAATGCTTGTCCTGAGATCTATGGTGGGAGATGGGATTATATGTGCCTGGACTTCATTCTACTTGTACCTAGATCTGGCAACAATCTGAGCCTCTTGATTTTGAAGATAATTCTCCAGGTGAAGGGCCATTGTGATATTAAAGTCTCTTCCTGCCCCACTCTTTTTCCCAAGACCATCTTTAATGAAAAAGGAGAGAGGGTCCACCCCTTGCTACTCACCCCCACGTCTAAGAGCATTGCCAGAAATGACCTGGGCAAGCAAGGACAGGAGCCTTAGTTTAAAAATCCACACAACGATTACATTCTAATCCATAATTTATACTTGTTTTAATGTTAACAACTTTTAAATTATTGATTCATTTGCTTAACCTTCCCTCACCAAAATCTTTGAGTAACATTGATGTTTCTGGAAACTATGTCATGTTTATTTTTCTTTAGCTTTGTTTAGCTCTTGGCATAACTTCTTAGTATTCCTGGGGGTCCAAGGGCTCTGGATTGTGAGGCAGTGAGTCGCACCGTCTCCCCTTTGTGGATCCCAACATCCTTGTGAACAGGGGTTGCAGCCGGAAGAGGTTCTTTCCATTTTTGATGAAGCTAAAAAGTGGAGAAGCCCTCAGGTGAGGAAGCAGCCGCAGGAAGTTCTCTCCATTTTTAATGAAGCTAAAAAGTGGAGAAGATAGGCCTGAGAGCCAGGTGCACGGGGTTCCGGACTGGCTTTCTTTAGGCTTTTGTATACCAGTACTTCGCGTGTTAGTCATTGATACTGCTAACCCTCTGTGTGTACAGAATTCTGGTGATTAGCAGATGAAGCGCCAAGAAAGGCCATCATGCAGAGATGTCACATTCTCCCAAACTGTAATTTTGATGCTGCTTCCATCTTTATTTGCGGAGCTGTGTCTGTGGCATTATATTCTAGTGTATTTTGCATTTTATAAAAATGAAAGGAAAATCCTCAACAGCAAATGATAGCTGCCTTTCATTATGATGAGGATACAAATCGCCAGGGATGCAGTGCGAGTCTTGTTTTCCTTCCGTTTGTGAACAGTGTGCTCTTTTGAGGAAGAAGGAAAAAAAATAAAGTGTATATATATATATATATATATGACAAAAATACATTAAGGGTTATTGTGTCTACAAGCGAAGTATAATTACTAATAGTAATTATAGTAATTGGTAATAATGATTATAGTATTAATGGTACTATTAAGAAAGATTATGAATATATGCTTTCAGGGAGCACACTGCAGCGCCCGGCTGCCTCCCTGGCGTGATGTATTGTTTGGCCATTTGGCTGTGGAGTTAGTTTTAAGGAAGCATCATGTTTGGGGGCAGGAGGGTGGAGGTGACCTGTACCGTGAGACAAGCCCGGGGCTTGGGGTCAGAAGACAAATAGTAGTTTCATCTCTGGTGCTTTCTAGTTGGATATCTTTGTTAGATATCATCTCTGACACTTAGCTGCCTTCTCTGGAAAATGGGATCCATAAACCCTGCTTACCTCACAGGGCTGTGGGAAGGATCAAATGTGATGGGTAATGCCAAAACAGAAGGTGTTGTGGTGGCAATAGGAGTATGACTTTCAGGCCACGATACCACTTTGCCACAAACTTGTGTGTATTGTAGTTGAGTGTACTGTAGATTGGATCTGAATATCTTTGCTGGAAAGGATTTGAAGAGGTTCAGCAATTCCTGTGTGGTTCCAGGCGGGTACATGGATGCCTTCTAAGTGTGGTCTTAGAAATCCAAGGTCAAAGTAAAGCTCAAGTCATTGAAGCTCCAGTTTTTGTTAGAGTGGATGTTTGGGCCACATCACTGCCCTGAAATTGCTGTGATTCGACAGGAACTGAGGCAAACCTTCAGCTATAAGATGAAGACCTAATGCATGATGACTATCGGGAATAATAATGTATATTTGAATTTGATATGACAGTAGACCTTATGTGTTCTCACCACACACACACACAAATGGTAACTACACTGTACGGCTCTTTTAGAATTTATCTAGCAAGTTTTCTGGTTTTTACCAGAAACCTCCTCAAAGAAAAGGGAATTGTATGAGGTGATAGATACGTTAAGTAGTTTGTGGCAATCATTTCACAATGTATACATATATAAAACCATCACCTTGTACACTTAAATATATGTAATTTTTGTCAATCATACTTTGATAAAGTTGGAGGGAAAAAAAAAAGAAACTTACAGAGGAATTCCTTTATTCCAAAATTTCCTAGAGTGGGTGGGGCTGATAGTTGTTCCCCACATTCAGTATGTGATGGGATTATTTTTTCTTTTTTTCCTTTTTCCCCTATTAAAAAATTGTGGCAGTATTTTAATTTAGAGGGTTATCATATATTAAGAACATGTTCTCAACCGAAATAGTGTTAACAGTAAAAGTTCTTGGTGATAACATGTCTGTTGCTTTGCTTATTCCTGCAGCATGAAGACAGCGTGTACGATCCCTGAATGGGCTTGTGGGTATATTTAGTCATTCATTTTTGATCAGGAGAAAGAAGACAGCCATCACTTGAAAGGTAAGTAAATATTTCTATGCAGCTTTTTATCATAAAACATTTTCAACCATACTGAAGAGAGGTAAGAGAACGTACAGTGAGTTCCTGCGTGTCTACACCTTAGCTTTAACAGTTATTAGCATTTTGTCACATTTTTTGGTGTGTGTATAGGTTTGTACATTTTTAAGCTGAAACACGTGGAAGTTGCAGACATCATGACATTTTTTCCTAAATTCTTGGGATGCAGCTCTTACAAATAAGGATATCCTCCCCTGAAAGACATCTTAGAACTATGTGACACAGAACTATTTAATTAAATTTATAGTTTTGTACTGAAGTGTGTAACTGGGTTATGCTCCCTTCATTGTTGATACAAATAAAGTCAGATTAAAAACATTTTTAGGACAGGTGTGGTGGCTCACGCCTGTAATCCGGGCACTTTGGGAGGTTGAGGGGAATGGATGGCTTGGGCCCAGGAGTTCAAAATCAGCCTAGGCAACAAGGTGAGACCCGTCTCTAGGAAAGATACAAAAAAAAATTAGCTGGGCGTGGTGGGGCACACCTGTGGTCCCAGCTATTCAGCAGGCTGAGGTGGGAGGATCGCTTGAGCCCACAAAGTCGAGGCTGCAGTGAGCTGTGATGGAGCCACCGCACTCCAGCCTGGGTGACAGACAAGACCCTGTCTCAAAAAACAAAATCCAAAACCATTTTTAATAGCAAGAACCTGTCTACAAAAAATTAAAAATTTAGCCAGTCATGGTGGCACATACCTATAGTCCTAGCTACTTGGGAGGTTGAGGTGGGAGGATCACTTGAGCCCAGGAGTTGGAGAGTGTAGTTAGCTATGATTATGCCACTGTACTCCAGGCTGGGTGACAGTGAGTCCCACTCTCTGTCTCTCTCCTTCTGTGTGTGATTATGTAATCTGCCCGTCCCTGCTATGGCTGATGTTTCAAGTTTAGGTCAGTGGCTCTGATCACCAGCCTCACCTTCTCCCTGATCAGGATTCACAAGTAGACCAGGGCTGGGCCTGGTGACTCATGCCTGTAATCCCAGCACTTTGGGAGGCCGAGGTGGGTGTATCATTTGAAGTCAGGAGTTCAAGACCAGCCTGGCCAACATAGTGAAACCCTGTCTCTACTAAAAATACAAAAATTAGCTGAGCGGTAGTGGCATGTGCCAGTAATCCCAGCTACTTGGGAGGCTGAGGCAGGAGAATCACTTGAGCCTGGGAGGTGGAGGTTATGGTGAGCCGAGATTGTGCCTCTGCAGTCCAGTCTGGGTGACAGAGTGGGACCCTGTCTTAAAAAAAAAAAAAAAAACAAAAAATAGTAGACCAGTCTCTGTGCTCTAATGTGATCAAAGGTCTTAGTTGATGTTTTAAACTTAAACTTGTAGGAGAATGGGGAAAGAATATGAGTGGTACTGTGAAGTTGAGGTTATATAGGTTAATATATTAAAATCAGCATTACAGAGATTAAAAATGATTCCCAGCCTCATAATTTGACTACCTACATTGAAACTTTACTTAAAATCTCAAAAATATGTTCAGCTATGATTACAGTTATAGATCGTTACGCGTTATAGCCAATTACACCATCAGTTATCTGTGGTTTTTGCAAGATGGCTGTCAACTGTTCTCCTTTCCAATCTCAGTTACTATTTATTTATAGTATCTTCCTCAGGTGGTCCCTGTGTATCTAAGCAGTGCTTTACAGACATTTGTGTATATAAGGTTGCCTATTTAGAGTATATTTTAAAGGAAGTCTATTTAAGTGAGCGATTGAGGGCAGCAGTGGCTTCTTATACTCTCATTTCTGATTTAGAACAAAAGGTCAGTGATAGCAGTAAAGGTTCTTCAAAAGATACTGGGATTCAGAAGGAGTTGTGTCTGGAATCATGGGTAGCTCAGAATGATTGAGTTTGCTTTTTTATTCTTTGGCCTCTGTATAGTTATACTTTGAAAAGACAAAGAGGAGTGAGTGGGACTCCACGTGAGGCAAAGGGGACTTTGAAGGATGAATGAAGGGAAGACATATGGGGCCCTGTCTAGTCCTAGACCACTGAGATATGGTGATTTAAAAAAACTTTCTACTGAAGTAGAAGATACACACAGAAAATAGACATATTATAAGTGTATAGCTCAATATAACTCCACAGATTGAACACATCCATGTAACCAGCACCCAGATTAAGAAATAGAGCATGACTAACACAATCTCATACTTCCTTTTAGACACTTCAGTTGACTCTTAAATAGTTTGGGGATGAGGGGTGCAGTTGAAAATCCAAGTATAATTTTGTCTCCCTGAAAATGTAACTACTAATAGCCTACTGTTGACTGGAAGCCTTACTGACTTACTACATAACGACACACACACACACACACACACACACACACACACACACACATCTTTTGAGACAGAGTTTTGCTCTGTTGCCCAGTCACTGCAACCTCTACCTCCCGGGTTCAAGTGATTCTTCCTCCCGAGTAGCTGGGATTACAGGCGCGTGCCACCACGCTGGGCTAATTTTTGTATTTTTAGTAGAGATGGGGTTTCACCGTATTGGCCAGGCTGGTCTCGAACCCCTGACCTGGTGATCCACCCGCCTTGGCCTCCCAAAGTGCTAGAATTACAGGTGTGAGCCACCGTGCCCGACCAATGACATATATTTTATGCATTCACAGCATGCCTCACATTTCCTTATTTTTTTTTTTTTCTATTTCTAGGCTATGTGGTTTATCTGTGAGTTTTTTCAAATTGTTGCAAATCTCCAAAAAATTTTCCAATGTGTTTATTGAAAAAAATCTGCCTGAACTGTACAGTTCAAACACTGGTTTGAACTGTAAGTGGCCCCTTACAGTTCAAACCAGTGTTGTTCAAGAGTCAACTGTACCCTTGCTCCGTGGATGACTACTCTCTTGACTTCTAGGAGTATAAATTAGTTTTGCATATGTCTTTTCTTTGTGTGTGTGTATGTGTAATATATAACGCAGATTGTACTCTTTTGTGTCTGGCTTCTCTCATTCAACAGCATATTAGATTCCTGCATATTATTGCATATAGTTTAGTTGTATTACTCATTTTCATTGCTATAGAGCATTCCATTGTGGGAGAACATAACTATTTATTTATTTTACTAGATGTGGGTAATTGTTTGGGTTTACCCACCCAGGGCACCCTCCAGAGGAAATGGGAATTAAACAAGGTTTTCTCCTCATCGTGGTTATAGTGGAGGTAGTACCAGCTTGTGCCCAGCTTCTGCTGTGATATGAGGGAGGAATCCAGACAGCAGCGAGAAGATTGAGACACACTTGGGAGAATTGGGTGTGGTTTCATCAGTCCTGGGCTGATTCCTGCTGCTCTTCCTGTGACTCACCATGTCCCTTCTCACATCGTTCCCTACCGGCACATGTTTTCTACGTCCTCTTCTCTGCTATTATTACTCTCCCTACAGCCCCTCCAAGGAGACTGTGCAGAACATATCAAACAACAGGCAATCGATGAATATTTAAAGTTCATTAGGTGTTGATATTAAGTGTTAGGTGAGGGGCAAAGAGTTGAATGTTTTGGGCTTGCCCTTGAGGAGCCTGTAGTATAGTTATCAATTCACAGGTATGGCTGTGGGCCACATCCCTGGAAGCCAGTTGTACTGTAGAGTTCAGGGATGTAAATTCAGAGGCTTACATGGACCAGGCTGGTAATGTGACTGAAATGAATGGGGTTGCTTATAAGGAGTGATGGGCATGGTGGAGAGCAAATATATATCCTCTGCCCAAATATCAACCCAACAAACTCTGTCCAGCTTGATTTAGCAAGTCCACCACTTTCCAACCTTTAGAGAGTAGAGTCTTCATTATATAATAAGAAAATGCTCCTCAGAGGATTTGGGTGTTTTTATGGGCAAATTCTGTTTTTATAAATAAAGTTTTATTCAAAAAATCATGCTCATTTGTTTACATATTTTGCTAAAACTGCAGAGTTGAATAGTTGCAAAAGAGACCAGGTTTGATTAGTTGCAACAGTGACCATATGGCTTACAAAGCCTAAAATATTTACCATCTAGCCCTTTATAAAAAAGTTTGCCAGCTCCTGCTTTACTTCATAAAAGCAAGGACATAGTAATCATAACCTCTGTAGTCATGTAATAATCTGAGCCCATTAAATTTAGTGTTAATGTTCTCATTCATGTATTCATCCAACGCATATTTACAGAGTGCCTATTGTATTTCAGGCATAAAATAGTGATAATCAGATATGGTTCTTGGTCTTGAGGAGTTTAAGAGAGGCTCTTCTATCACTTCTTGGCCTTTTGGCTAAGATCAAGTATAGTAAAAGAGTCTCCTATGAATTTGAAATTCCATTCTATGATTGTGCTTTCTATAAATCAAAAATATGACATCGTGGTGTGGGGGCATCCCCCGTCAACTCTTCTAGTGATGCAGGTAGTGCATTTCCGTGTGCACCAACCACATGGGGCTTATTCTCAGCATTGCAGTTTTTAGAATAAAAAGTATAATATGGAAATGAACTAAAAATCCTCAACTTGAAACTATTATGTCAGCTATCTTTATTAATTTTATAAACTTGATAAACACTCTACATAATTTGATTTTTTGCTTCAGTAATGAGGAGTATGAAATGTGATGTTTGCACAATTACTGTAGTTTTAAATGTCCTAATTGTTTACATGTGGTAATCCCAGACTGTTTGAAGGTAGCCATGTCTGGAGAAGGGCTGATAAGTTTTGAAGTGCTGACTAAAGCAAGCCAAGCAGCCAGCCAGTCTTGTGCTACTTTAATAATAAATATCAATAGAAACAACAGCCAACCAAGTTAATAGAGTTTGGATAATAAAGTTTGGAGTGCAGCATAACAGATTAATCTAGCTCTGTTCGTGTGCTTATCTATTTGCTTATCAAAGTCATTAAAGTTTGTTTCTTCTTGATAGGAGGATATAGGTGCATTGTAATGAACATATAAAATACAGAAGTATTTTTTTACAATAAGGAATTTGAAA